GGTCAGTCCAGCTCCCATTTGGGCATCATTAAACGCACTCAGATGTATAAAACCTTTACACAACTCTCATATAAATGAATCTCAGAGCCCATTTTGTCCATGTTTGGGATTATATGTCTCCCTGTTACTGAAAATGTTATTGAAAGCAGCCCAGGAATGCAAGTTGGTGCTGGAGAGATGTATAGGCTTCACAGAAATCACTGCATGTGCCTCTACACCCACAGCAGCACCACCAGCACGTGACTCATCTTGGATTTCCTCAGTCTGTGATGCTAAAATAAAAAAAAAAGATTATTTTCTTTGTAGCAGATAGCTTTTTCAAGACTCAAAGGTGGCTTTTCAAGAGTGTCAAAGGAATCAAGTCATTACATTGCGGATGCATTCGATGGATGATGAGCTATGAAAGCCTGGTGATTACTGACTAATAAGGTTGGGAGGTGAGGGGATGTTTCCTCTTGTAAGAACGTGGAATGCCAATACTAAATCATCTTGTCCGGGAGCTGCTTTATGCTGATGACGCCGCCCTTGTTGCCCATACAGAAGCAACTCTGCAGCGTTTAACATCCTGCTTTGCAGACGCTGCTGAGCTCTTTGGGCTGGAAGTCAGCTTAAAGAAGACAGAAGTTCTCCATCAACCTGCACCTCAGGAAGTTTTCCATCATCCCCATATCACCATTGGCAAATCAGAGCTCAAATCAGTCCAGTAGTTTAATTACCTAGGCAGTCTCATCTCCTCTGATGGTAAGATTGACGGAGAGATAGACAACAGGTGAGCAAAGGCATATAATACCTTCGGAAAGTTTCATAAAAGAGTTTGGTGAAATAAACACTTGAAGAAAAGTACAAAGATCACTGTTTACAGAGCCATTGTGCTGTCTGCTCTTTTATATGGATCCGAATCATGGGTCATTTACCGCCACCACCTGCGACTCCTAGAACGCTTTCATCAACACTGGTCAGATTATGTGACTAATACGTCTGTTCTAGAACAAGCAGCAATCACAAGTGTTGAGGCCATGTTGCTGAGAACACAGCTGCATTGGGCAGGACACGTCTCAAGGATGAAGGACCACCGCCTCCCTAAGATCCTGCTTTATGGTGAACTTGCTCCTGACTGCCGCAAGAGAGGAACCCCAAAGAGAAGATACAAGGGTTCTCTGAAACAACATCTCAGCCTTGACCATACTGATCATCATCATTGGTCTACTCTGGCCTCCAATCGGGAGGTCTGCAGACACACTATCTGCTGATGCTTTTGAGAAAGCACGCAGGATCACTCTTGAGGAAAAAAGAACGCAGAAAGTATTGTGTCTTGCAGAATATACCACCTAAGGAGTCTTTCTGCTGTGCCTTTTGCAACTGGACGTGTCTATCTCGTATTGGCCTTTTTAGCCACCAACGCGCTTGTAACAAACATGAGTAGAGCCCTTCCCAAATCTTCGTTCACGAAGCCTAGCCATGATGCTGTTTCCAGTAAGTTGTTCTTATCTCATCCCACGATCTTTACCTTTTGTGCCTCTGATTGTCCTCTCCAGCCCAACGCAGGGGAGGGGGAAGGGGGAGTGAGGGAGGAGCCTATGGTTTGGACTGGTTTCAGTGGGAACACTAAATTGGAGAATACCATTCCTAAACCATGACAACCATGAGAAACAAAAATTATTTGACAAAATACTCCTACCTGCATTTTTTCCTCCTTGGGATGCATCTCATAGACAGGTAGGGCCTGTCTCCCACCTTCTCAGAAAATGAGACACCATGTCTTCAAACTGACAGAGGGCAGGTTTAGATCAGATATTAGGAAGAAATTCTTCCCTGTGAGGGTGGTGAGGCACTGGCACAGGTTGCCCAGTGAAGCTGTGGCTGCCTCATCCCTGGAAGTGTTCAAGGATAGGTTGGACGGGGCTTGGAGCAATCTGGTCTGATGGAAGGTGTCCCTGCCCACTGTCTTATAGGTCTCTTTCAACCCAAACCATTCCATGGGGCTATGATGGGCATCAGCCGCTCATTACTGTCACCTGCACATCCCCTGGCATCCCCCACAAGCGTTACAGGGAGAAGTAGTGGTCCTGCCCTGGTCTGGGAGATAAAAGGAAGGGTTTGCAGCCAGGAAATCACTTTTATATTCTGAACATGCAAAATTAAATGCATTACAGTGGGGAACAGTGCTGAATTTGGACAGCTGTAACTCAGAACTTTGGTCTTTAATTTGGAGATGTGACAAAGCATATCTGATGGAAGTGGAAAAAAATCCCAAACAAACAGATATTATTTAAATAATATACTATTTTATTTTGTCTTAAAATAGTTTAACCTTTATGCTACAGACTTGTTTCAAAAAACAGAATGTCTCCTCTTGAACCAAAAATATATATATTTTTATATATATATATATATATAAACCACTCTGTTTTATTATTATTATTTTTTCAAAGACCATTAAATACTAGATGGAAAATGAGAACTAAATAATGAGTGTTGAGAAGAATCAAAATTTTTAACTAGAATCGCAGTTTTAAACATTTATATTCTAGGCAATGATTTGTCTTCACTATAGAAGATTCCAAGTTCACATTCTAGCAATTCAGGAACTGCTAAACCCTGAAGGACTTGAGCCAATGCACACTGAGGTTAATGGAAAGCCCTGCATCAACTCCAATGAGTTCTGGATCAGGTCCCATGTGCATTGGTTCTTAGCCATACAATGGTTAACATTTCACTTTCCTGCTGAGAAGAGCAAAATCATCCAAGCACCTTTTGCACTTTTTAAAAAAATAAAAAAATTAAACCAAACCACTTCCTAGCTATCCAGTGATTGCAGTTTTCAGATCACTCACTACCCTTTCAAATCTGTTAAGAATAAGAAAAAATATGTAGTGTTTTAAATAAAAGAAAACTTGCATCAGGCTACAATACATGTATTGTTTAAACAAACACAGTGCACAATTGAACTAAGTTTGGTTAGGATGCAGTTGTTTTTATATATACATGGAAGTCACATCATATACAAACTGAAAAATGAGAGTTAGTTTGCATTTTTCATGGAAGGACTACAAATAGGTCTCTGCAGTTTTCTTCACAACTAATCTTCAAAAGACTTGGTGAAACAGGAAAATGCAGCCACAGTATGGGAGTTCCAAAGTTACCGTTACAAAATGTATGCTAGCCCACTAAAATGATGGCTGAGTTGCATGACTAAAATACGAGGAGAAAAGATCGACAGCCACTGCTGATTATAGTGCCCCAATAGCATGGGGCTTTTCCCTACTGCAATGTGAATGAGCTTCATCCATGCTCCCCTCCCTCCCTCTTTCCCTCTCCCAGAGAAAGAAATTGGTCACTAGAAGCACCACATACATTTTTCTGGCCATGCAATACACTTAAATTCAATGTTTTAGAAAGCTTGAAATTGGAATATCAATCCTTTACCTAATTGTTCTTTTAAGTGCAGTCCAAACTGTTCTGTTTAGGGGTTTTTCTGCCCGCAGGTAAAATTATTGGAAGCCAAATAAATTTAGAAATCAGTCAACACAAAAACAAAACAGAACTTCCCACGTTCTGACTAACGCCTATTCAGAAAATCTGATGATAGAGCTGTACAAAATTCCCACTAGAAACATCTGGAATACAGAGGAATGTTTTAATTGCACAATAGACATTTAAAGTGAATATCATCTTGTTAAAGTCTAATCTTTGGGTTTTGCCTTGAGAAAGGCTCAAAAAGACAGATGAGTGGCAGGAATTTCCATATACACTACAGAAACTACAACCCGCTAAAGTAAGTAGTTCCACTGATTTCAGCAAATATTCTGGGTAGAAAGTGTTTCCTGAATCATACCTGAAAAACAATTCCAAAACTAGGATAAGAGACATGACCTAAAGCCAGGAAAATGGTACAGATCTATTTAAAAAATTAAAAAAAAATAAAAATAAATCAACCTTAGGTTCTGATCCTGCAACACCTTTTAGGACAGAGTTTTAAGCACTTGAATGGTCCTACGAGTTTCAGCAAACTGTCCCTGCTAAATGCTACATGGCTGCTAAAGTACTTTGCCAGACTGGGGCTTTGAATTTGTTTAGGGTTGTTTGGTTGGGGGTTTTTTAGAGATGGTGAATGAAGCAAATAATCATCAATAGAAATGAGGTCTGTGAGCAAAATGTTTCGTTTCTCTCCTCCTACTCCAGGCAAGACTCAGATTTAGGTAAAAAAGTTCAGCTTTATTTAAAAAGGAGAGGGATGCTGGACCTTTTTATTACTTTTTTTTTCCTGTGCTTTTGCAATAATCAGCTGCTACTTAGTCACTACTATTACTATTTTAAACCATAAGAAGCCATGGGAAATGATCAGTGAAACACAGTAGTCAGATAGAAAATTTAGAACTAAAAGAGTGTAAACTATAAATTATATTGAAAATAAAACTTCTTTAATTAAAAGCTGTTCAGTGCATATGTTATGGGCCATTTGCATTAAAGACAGTCCCTTCTGCTGGTAACATAACCAAATCAGCTTGGGTATAAATACTCTTGGCCCAATTTTTGGAAGTGTTGAAAACCCCCAGTTCCAACAAAATCAGTGAGGACACAGCATTTCTCAAAATCACTGATATTCACACAGCAAAACACTAACTTCTACTAACAAACTCAATATACTGATAAATTAAAAATGTTCTGAAGTTGGAGGTGGGAAAGGGTGGGGGGACATAAGTTTGCACACAGTTATTTCTTCAGATTAACATGTACACGTTATTAACTGTAGATGTGTTTTAAATTTAGTGCTATTGGGTTTTAATTCTGGAATGAATTCTCCTTTGAGAAGGCAAAACCATTTTAAATTATATTGAAATCATACTACATTCTTATGGAAATGAAAAACATAATGAGTTTGAATTTCATAATGCCAAGAACAGGGCATTCTGAAAAGCTTCTGAAGCTGAAGCTTTAACAATGAACTTCTGTGCCGCAAAAGGGAGAAGGGGTGGGGACAGAAACACAGGCACATTGCATTACAGTAGATATTTGTGTCTCATATCCTCATCCAGAGTGAGGTCTACTACTTCTGGGGGTGAAGACCAGTTCTGCTGGGGAGTCACTCCTGTCCATGATTGTGTTTGCTGAGCGTTAATGTACTGTGAGTCTGAGCCATGCTTCCAAGAAGACACACTCTGAATCACACCTCCCCTGGCATGCACATACCTGTAGCAAGGCAAAAACCACAAAGGATTAAAGTTACCATTGAATTCAGGCACAAGATTCTTAGCTGCAGTGTTTTATCATTTAGGCATTTCAACATGCTCCCCTTCAAAATGCTCACATGGATTTTCCATTTGTAGAGTCCATGATATCTTAAATACCCAGTAAACAAAGCTGAGATTAAATTTAAACTTGGAGGTAGTGATTAAATTATTTTTAAGAACTGAATTCTGCCAGTGGGTATAAAGTGATATTCCTTTCAAAATATGTGCATTGATCCCAAGGATCTTGGAGAAGTCTGCCCCATCATGTGTAATACCATGCATTATTCAGAAGCATAGTTTCCTGCTAGCAGTTTTACCTGCTGAACTTAAAAAGAGAAAAATTTTCAGTGAGGCTGGATGAGACAAAGGAAAAAGCTATCTTTCTATATGAAATCAAAGCCATGTTAAAATAAGGACATAATGATACTTTCATTACAATAATTACAAAAGAGATGTTGTCAATTACATTATTACAGTCATTACAATTGATTTTTCTTTTGGTCTTCTTAACAAAAAATTGCAAACATTCTGGGAAATGTTCAATGATAACGGTACAGATCCACTTAAGCAAAACATTTAAGCTTTCAGTGATTATAGTCAATGAGAATAAATCATGTATTTAAACACACACTCAAGTGCCTTGCTGAAGCAAGGTACATATCTACTTATTTCCACAGTATTTTTTCCTATTACATTCATAGTAGATATGTGATGATTGAAGTACAAGCTAATAATAATTAGAACAAAAACCTCAAAATGAAAGATAAACTAATTTTGTTATATGATGAAGTGATGACAAGAATTTACTGGAGTCTTTAAGATGATCACTCCATTTCCAGCTGTAAATCTTAAACAAGCACTAGTAAAACTTGATACCTAGTACTCCAAAAATTGTTTTGCTCTTGTAAGCACTGGTAGTGGCTGCACACATAAGTTGGAGGTGTTTTGGCTGCTGGGGTAAGCTTTTCCCATTTCTTTGTGAAGGCACATGTACTGTATTTCAGGAACCCAAATTTTCTGCATTGCTCAAATATCCCTGACATTTACATTTTATTTATTTATTTATTTTAAGGTCATGCAATTTATTTTCTCCAGAACTACTTAGATTATACTCATCTTTCTTGGTTCTGGTTAGTTTCATGACATAAAATGAAAAATCTCATTCTCTGAGCTGTAACTTCTCTGAATATAAATGTATCATTGTCTTCTCGGATATGCTATTTAGTTTTGGATGTGATGTTTAGAATGACTTTTTTATTACTTCTTCAGTCTTAAAAAAATACATACTTAAAAGTCCACAACTACAAAGAATTAGCAATAAGAGACTGGAACTCTAAAAAATGTAGGTGATTTCTTTCTTTTAAAGCTTTCTTTTAAGAAGAAATATTTTTAAGCATAACTGGAAAAATTAAACAAAGTAAAAAAAATGACTTGGTGTCCTAAGTAGATGCCAAGTAATATTCCAATGATGAGAAACAGTATCAGTACACTAATAATCTGAAAAACTACAAATGATGGACAAACTCTAGGGTGTCACGACTCACACCAGTCCAACAATGACATGGAATATGGAGCATGATAAAAAACAGTGTGAGCAAAAGAACAGAATCCAAACACCATACTAACTAAACATGCAAAAAATACTGATCAAAAACCTAAATCTTTTTCAAAAGACAACCCTGTCAGAAGCCCATCAATACTTCATAGCTGCAAGCCTAGACCTGCAAGAGAAATAAAATTCTAAATAGGATTTGAACAACTGAAACATGTGAGTATTCAACAGAGCCAGTAAAAACTAGTCTGTGGGAGATGGTACACGGTTACATGAACAAAGGAAAGCAAAAACGTGTGCTTTAAGTCTGTCTTTGCTGAAATTATTTCAGTCCATATCCACTAAAACTGATTTTAAACAGCAATTCTGCATTTACTTCACATTTCCATTCTTGTACACGGTAAATATTATCAATGCAAGCAGCATGGAAAGCTTTTGAATAGGGGACTGCAAGAAAAAGAGTTGTGTGTACATAGTGCTAGACAGATTTACACAAACTAGCATTGGAGGACAAGTCTGCACTGCTTATTAGCACAAAGATCCTCCAAGTCCTGGATCTGCTGGATAAACAGTCAGGAGAGCTACTACCTAAGAAATTAGTACCTTCCAAAAGAGTTAGCCATGCAAGGACTTTCACTATTCCTTTGGTACCTTAAAATTTCCTTTTTTCATATCCAACAGCACTGGACTATGCCCATACTATCCGTACAGTTTCCTGTTTGGGAAATTGGGTCCTGCACACCTTCCTTCTTCCTTTCCCCAAGAAAGATGTGGTGAAGGGACAACAAGGAACAGATCTGTTCTTTGTCCCTCACATCCCTTTTCTGACTCCAAGCCTCCACCAGGCAGCAGACTAGTTTTAGAAGGAGCTTGTCTGTATATTGTTTTAACTTGCTTTTATTCCACCAAATTAACACTCCATACTACATGAAAATGTCAGTCTTGTTCAACTGCTTCATAATATCTTAAGCCAAGGAAAGATCATAGACTAAAGATGAAGAATAACATCAAAAAATGCCTAGCAAGAATAACAACTGAAGCACAGCTGGACAAGTTTCTATCTGAGCTTGAGAGAAACCTCTGGCTTCCTTACCCTCCTCTACTTTGGGGATTTGAACTCTTGTATCTTGAAATAAAACCAAGATTCATAAAGATACGATTTTCAATCTAAAGGGGCTATCTTATGAAATAAGCTATTGAAAAGTTAATAGTATTTTTACAACTACTGATTAATTAAATAAAGTGGAAGCTGATTAAATGCTTAGAGTTAATATTTTTAAAGGAAACAAGAACCCACATAAATATTTTAGTTTCTTTTTTTGCATATTCACACTATGCCTTTAAAATCTGAATTCCTGATGTATATACATTTGGTATCTCAATATTTGGCATTTTTATACTACATATCTTTAGCCTGTTAATGTTTGATATCGAATCACAAGCTTAATATGAATACTTATTGGGAAGTAAGGTAACACGCAGGTACCCCTGAAATACCAAGCAGTGGAAGGATTGCAGGAAAATTTATTTCCGAAGTCAAGAACACTAGACTTAAAAGAAAATTCCTAATGGCGCTTCAAACATCGGGCCTGAGAAAGACACAATCTGTGTTCTCCTCAGGGCTGCCCCCCCCCCCCACCTTGGAGGCCCCTTACATGTCTGTGAGTGTTTATCTCTCTCCTCACATACCACAGAGAGCCTGAGAGTCTCTCTGGAATGCAGGGGGAGAAAACATCAAAAACTGTCTTTGAGAAAGATGCTTCTTTTAGGCAGGAAAGCTTTCTTAAGTGAATAACTCTATCTCCTCGTAGTGAAATCTTCTGGAAGAGTATTCTATCCTTACACTTATCAAGTTGGTAATGTTCTAAAGAAAAACACATTCTGATATCACTGTGACCAGCGAAAAAAACATGTGCAACATTTGCTACCTTTTGGGCATTGGTCATGGATGGATAACTATAGAAGTGAAAGTCAGCATTTTTTTCTTTATTAATTTTGGCAATATTCTGATAAAATGAAATATTAGAGCAAGAAAAAGGAATTCATACCTGGCATGTTCCTGAACTCCAACAATCTCTACTTCACTATCAGAAGAGGCAATATTAATTTCTTCATTGATATGGCCATTACTAGAAGAGGTTTTGTCACCTGCAAGGAAGCCTGGATCCAAATGACCTATAGATGGGGAAAATGCAAATACAGCCAATGGTTAACAATGTACACAACTCAGAAATCAGCTGAAAAAGGAATTTCCCAAGCTAACAAAAAAACCCCACTGAAACACTGCAACTGGAAAATCTTATTAGATCAAGTTATCCAACTTTCTGTTTATCACCTGATACAGGATGGTCACTGGATTTATTGAGTTTCAATAGCTCTAGTGATGGTGTTATCACACAAATGTGAACAAAGCCTGACTTGCATCAAGAACACTCGATGTAATTAGGATTTCCAGCTGTTATTTTACGACAGTGCTGAGAGAGACTGTGCCTAAATCTCTTTGACATAAAGAAACAAGACAATCTAATGCCAATAAATCAAACTCAATGATACTGTGGCAAACAAAGCCTATAGGCTGGACAGAAATATCACACACCGAGGACAATGAATATTTTTTTAATAGGGGAAGCCGGTAAATGAAATAAAAAACAATAAACCCATCAGTTTCTCACCGTGCTGTTTCACACATCTGTTCTAACATTATTACAAATACTTGAAAAAAAAAATCTGTTTTTCTCAAGTCCCATATAAAGTACTATTTTTTATTACAGTTTCTCAGTGACAACCAGTTCATCAGTCTATCAAATAACAAGTCCTCTCTAAATATGAGTGTGGCAGGTTTTTGTTTTTTCTGCCGAGTACCTCTAAGAAGGTTCTTCACCCCAATTAGTAAAGCTGTGCTGGGACATATTAAATAATACTTGCATGTACACAAAAGAGACAAAATAATTTCTTTTACAGAAAATACAGTTTTTTAAAAATAAAAATAGGATTTCAATTAAAAAAGATAACGTCTACTTTGGTTTTTTTGGGGGGAACAAAAAAAGACAATTGCTTCTACTGTGACGTCAGAAGGAGAGATACTCTCAGCAGATAAGAGAGTTGTTTTGTCAAGTTCTGTGTAATGTTCCTTTCCAGTAACAGTGCTTCCTACTTAACTGACACTACAACTGCCCGGACTGTCTTGTAGGCACTTCTGCAAGCTCACACAGGGACTCGCTAGCATCTCCCAATCTCTTACAGCTATCTAAGAGTTCAAGGCACCAAACTAGAAGTGGTATGGACTTATGACAGCCATTTAATGAAGATGAGTTACGAGATATTAAGTGACTACAGTTAGTAATTATTTTATGATCAGACATTTTTACACATATTTGCCACAGGAAATAAACAAAACCAACTCTCAGGTATTTTAAAGTTTCAAATACTTTAATTCAACACCAATGAATGTCTTGGCTTTAAGCCAGTATCTTCCTGGAATAGAGCAGTAACATACCCATTTTATGATGTCATGGTTAAGGTCAACTGGCAACTAAGCACCATGTAGCTGCTTGCTCACCACCCCCCCCCCCCTTCCCGGTAGAATGGGGGTGAGAAACAAAGGTAAAACTTGTAGCCTGAGATAAGAAAAATTTAATAATTGAAACAAAGCAAAACATAAAAATAATAATAATAGTAAATAAGAAAGAGAAAACAAAAGAAAAACAAGTGATGCACAATACCATTGCTCACCACCCACTGACCGATGCCAAACCCCATCCCCAAACTGCGAGCAGCCTCCCCCTTCCAGGTAACTGGTCCAGTTTATATACTGGGCATGACATTCTATGGTCTGGAATATCCCTTTGGCCAGTTGGGTCACCTGTCCCAGCTCTGGTCCCTCTCAGCTTTTTTTTGTGCACCTCCTCACTTGGTAAGAGCATGGGACACTGAAAAGTCTTTGACTTGGGTAAGCACTACTTAGGAACAAGCAAAACATCAGTGTTATCAACATTATCTCATACTGAATCCAAAACACAGCACTGTACCAACCACTGAGAAGAAATGAACTCTATCCCTGCTGAAACCAGGACATACGGTCTGGCCAACTGAGAGATCTGGTGACATGCCCAAATTCTACAGAAAGGCTGGAAAGGAGCTGTAAGACAACTAAACCCTCAAGTGATTTTCTCATCCACAAGCCACCAATATTATTCATTTGTTTCTTTAATTATTAAGCTCATAGTATAAAATCTAAATGTTGCAACATGGATTTGCAGTAGGCATACTACTGAAAAATAAATGGTATCAACACACTAAAGGCAAAGTCACGTTGCATTCAAATTATGAAAATTTGACAGTAAGATACCAACTGCTGTTGGGTTGCTCTTGACACCAAACCCTTGATCTTTTTTGACCAGTAATAAGAGGTGCCAATTGATTTCAGCATCCACCAGATTGTTAACAATCAATACCACAATCTTTACATGTTCAAAGTGTTCCTAAAGAAGAAAGCACTTGTGACAGTGGTCTCGGTACTCAGTAAGCAACAGGTATAGCTTCACTGGAAGCAACACACTACCTTCTCACCAAGAAAGCGCACCCGTGCCACTGAACCATACTCAAGAGCACAGTTAGCTCAAGATAGCTAACCTTTGAGTCTATATCTTTACAAATCCTAACGCTCTCCTCCTTAGTCGAGCTTTCCTAAGAAACTAACACAACAATATTGTGGTTTAACCCCAGACAGCAACAAAGTACCACACAGCCACTTGCTCACTCCCCCACCAGTGGGATCAGGGAGAGAATCAGAAGGGTAAAAGCCAGAAAACTCATGGGTTCAGATAAAGAAAGTTTAATTGGGAAAGCAAAAAATGTGCACACAAACAAAGCAAAACAAGGAGTTAATTCACTGCTTCCCATTGGCAGGCAGGTGTTCAGCCATCTCCAGAAAAGCAGGGCCCCATCACACGCAACAGTTACTTGGGAAGACAAACGCCATCACTCCAAACATCCACCCCAATTTATATACTGAGCATGATGTCATATGGTATGGAATATCCCTTTTGTCAGTTTGGGTCACCTGTCCCGGTTGTGTCTCCTCCCAACTTCCTTGCCAGCGTGGCAGTACGAAAAGCAGAAAAGGCCTTGGCTCTGTGTAAGTCCTGCTCAGCAGTAACAAAAACATCTCTGCATTATCAACCCTATGCTACGTTCAGCACAAATCCAAAACACAGCCCCATACCGGCCACTGCGAAGAAAATTAACTCTACCCCAGTCAAAACCAGCACAAACAAAAAAGATAAAATTCTCATAGGATGCCGCAGCAGTAGACAAATGTCTGTGAGGACTGGAAGAATAAGATGGACTGTGGCACAGTCTTTCATGGAAGGAGAACGAAGCCTGGTAAAGAAAAAGGACAATGCAGGAGAGGGCTAATTTAGAATAAGCTTTTGACAAACAAAAGGTGAAAAAATAGTATGAATCAAATACAAGTTGATTCTACAAATGAACAAAAGCTATTTTGGGTATTTCAAAAAAACAGAACTGACTGGGACAAAAAGTCAGTTGCGTGTGCATTATGAATAATGTCTCTAACATGGGTTTTACTATCAGATACTTTCTACAGTATTTACTCCCAGTGGCAGAGGTGAAGAAATTCAACCTCTACTTCAAGAGGGTAACAGACAGACCAGGAAACAGGCATTTCTTTCCCTCGACATACAGAAGACTTTGCATATGTTTGATTACAGAAATTAAATCACAGTTTGTAAGAGGATACCAAGTTACCACTTATAAAAAGAGCAAAGAAAATTAAAAGGTAGTTTTCAGCAGTACCATGCAAGTACTGAATAGAAGGAAAAAACCCCAAAGCACAAAAAAACAAACAAACCAACAAACAACAAAACCCCCACAAACAAAAAACTCCTTATGTTATAGTTTTATACTTTTTTATTTTTTCCTGGTGAATTTTCCCATACCAAGGGCCTCTTGCTCCTAAGCTAAGACTCCTTAGGTGAGCCTGGGACTTGGGACTTAACAACTGGACTGCTTCAATGAAATGCTAAATAACCTCGGTACACCAGCTAAATTGCGTAAGGGAAACTCCATCCCTGTAGCCACAGTTGGGGGAAAGAGAGAGCTCAGGTTTTTTTCCTCTGGGGGTGGGACTTTACTTTTGCCCAGACTCAGGGAGTGGTGTGGAGGTGAGGGGCTCCGGGTTCATTTTTTTCAGCCAAGTCACTAGCTTCTTTTGGCCCCTAGGGAGGTCCCGGTTAGCCTCCATTCCCTCATGCCCTGCTCTGCCCACTGCCTGGACTTGCCGCGGATTTCATTGGAGAAGCCGGTGGCATCTGCAGAGGAACTTTTGAGGGGAAAGGCTGTTCTTCCCCTCCTCCTCCTCCTTCTCCGTGCTGGTGGCAGTTCACATCCATTGACGAAGAAGGGGAGTTCCAGCCAGAGCCAGTCTTTGACAGCGCAAATCCACAGGAGGAACCATCCTTTCCCCTTCTCCCTTCCCCCTTCAGGGGTGACCTGCGTTCAGCTGCCTCCGATGCTCCGGGCCCCACAGAATCGAAGGTCACCAGAGCCCAACAGCGCCACCTGTCGACCACCATTGAGCAATTGCAGCCTTTGCTCCTCACGAAGCCCAGCAGTGCCACCTGGTGACCGCGAGTGAGGCACTGCAGCCCCTGCCTCCCGAGGCATGCCAGCGCCCCCTGCTGGGTGTGGTTATAACTGTGCTGAAACGCAAAAAAATACTTAATTGTTTTTGGTGAAAGTTTGATTACGGAATTGTTGCTTGTTTTGTTGTGTTACATATATATATGTTCATGTTCATGGCTAGGCTTCGCGAACAAAGATTTGGGAAGGGCTCTACCCACATTTGCTACAGGCGTGCTGGTGGCTAAAGAGGCCAATGCAAGATAGACAAGATCAGTTGCAAAAGGCACAACAGAAAGACTCCTTGGATGGTATCAGCAGGATACGATTCTTTCGGCATTGTCTTTTGTCTTCAATGGTGATCCTGCGTGCGTTCTCAAAGGAAGCAGCAGCGTTATGGATTGTGTGTCTCCAGACCTCCCAAATGGAGGCCAGGGTAGACCAACGATGAAGATCAATGTGGCCAAGGCTGAGATGTTGCTTCAGGGAGTCCTTGTATCTCCTCTGCGGGGCTCCTCTCTTGCGGCAGCCAG